TCTCTCTCTCTCTCTCTCTCTCTCTCTCTCTCTCTCTCTCTCTCTCTCTCTCTCTCTCTCTCTCTCTCTCTCTCTCTCTCTCAGTGGCGAGCAGGCATTTCGGCAGCATAACAGCAACAGCAACAACTGTTGTCGTTTCAGATAAATGGCAGCATTTATCTGAAACGGCAACAGTTTTGTCGTGGCCTGGGCCTGGACCAACCACCCTCCCCACACTGCCCAATGCCCACACGGTGCCCCTCACTCGGTGGCACCGAAACAAGGCCAAAATGGCCCACTTGGCCTTTTTTTTTCTTCTGTTTTTATTTTTTCTGCGTCGCGCCGAAGGTCGGACACCCAAAAAAAAAATATGGGCGTGTAGGGCTTTTCCAGCCCTACACGCCCATATTTTTATTTTATTTTTTTCCACGTAAAAAATGGGGAAAAAAAATAATGTACCGAACTCGGCAGGTCGGCCTAGGCCGAACCGGGCTGATTCGGTCATCGGCCTAGGCCGCGGCCGATTCGGACCCCCCGGCCGCGGCCGGGCGTGCAACATAGACAGAAACCCGTGGTATGAGATTGGAGTGCTGATAAGAGCATACACTCCTACCTGACACACTGGGGGCTCCAGTCTATTGGTGGGGAGCTGCACCTGCTGGAAAACGGGTCCAGCGTCCCTTATGTTGCAATATAGAGAATAAAAGATGACCACTTGTTGGGAACCAGGCCCAGCATCCCCTGTACCTCTTCACCCTCAATAGAGTGGCGCCAGCTTGACCATTTAAGCTCTGGTACTGATGAGATAATGGTGACTCTACTTCTTTGTCTTGTCTATCTTGTGTGACCATGTGTGTCCGTTTCACTGATCCGATGTGTGAGACTGCAATAAAGAACATTCTAGCAGTTACTCTAGTATTATCTATTATAAATCATCCCCAATTCCAAACCAAGAACTGGGAACAACCACAGTGGGGGGGGGTGGGAGTGGGTCAGGAAAATCTGAGAGGGGTCTCAGGGGGATTGAGGGGTCAATTGAACACCCGTCATTAAACACAATCTTATAATTTCTTTTGATGACTCCATCCTCTGCCTCAGTAGTACCTTCCCATACCACTTTTCCAATCCCTCCCCCCTGGTTCCCACCAAGCCAAACCAAACTGAACTGTTGTATTTGCTGGGAGATTTCCTTTTTGTTTGATAAAAAATGAATTTTCTCCTTAGTGAGTTCTCATTGATTCAGGATGGCTGTCTGAATTTGTTCTTTTATTCTTTCTGTGAATTCCGGGTCATCCATCCTGGCACCTTCCCATTCATAGATGCATCTCCTCCTCCAAATGGTCCATAATACTGCCCTCCTACTGAGAATAAATAAAATTTGGGTAAATTTGTGAAAAGGGACAGCATTCCATACTTCCAACAACAGGGTTTTCCATCCCCATGGCCACTGAGCCTTTGTTTCCAGAGTATTCCAGATCCTGTCCCAGCATCTCCAAAGCCAAATTGAACCGGGACATTGAAGGAAAATGTGTTCAATTGTCTCCGGAATCATTCTACTTGGATACACAGTTTTGCACAGCTTGAACCAAGGTTGGATATGACCGGTTTTGTCATGTGATGTTTTATCTGTTAACCTGTCATTAGTAGGGAGGCATCTGTGTTCGATCTGCCATTGTAGGGAAGCTATTTTGGCCGGTTTAAAGTTCTTGCTGCGAAACCATTTGATGTTTTTCAGGTCGTCGATGCCTAGGTTAAGATGTCTCATCCATCTGTCAGATACTCTGTCTTTTAGGTTAATTGTAGGACGTAGCATTCTGTATGTTGATTTGACTATTAGCGAGTGGAGGGATCTGATATAATTTCTGTTTGTTTTGAGCTGCGACCCCCACTTCCATACAGCTGGATCCATTGCTAGGTGCGATATGGGAGTGTCGGGCCTGAAAGCCAGCCATTCATTCCCATTTTGCAATACTCTGATTCTGAAAATTTGATCTTTAACTACCCATCTGATTTCGTTCTCTGGGTGGGCGATTACTCTATTATCTTCTTTAAGGATGAAGAGGGAAGTTAAAATATCCCGATTTGCCTCAACTTCCAAGACATTACCTATTAGGTGATTGCAGTCAGTGAAAGCTACCCAATCATTGGGTTTGATGTCAGGGCCTTTCCTAAGGATGCAGACCCAGTCTAAGGGTATCAACTCAACTATTCTCTCCAAGGTATTCTCCAAATGGTGGCAATATCTTAATCTCCTCTGGATTTCCTTCTGAGTAACCCAATTTTTGGATTCTTTGTTTCAAATATCCTTTATTCTGACTACTCCCTTCTTAATCCATCCTCTCCACGGGGCGTCATTACAATTCAACATGATTCCTTGATTGTCTCGAACCCATGTGTTATTAAACAGGGCCTGTTGACACACTTTCTCCCATCTAGTAGGATGAATTTTATCTGGTAAGGGCAGTTTCCTCCAAGTCTTGATAAGGGAGATCCATAATGGATTTCTAGCCGAGGCTCGGTTTTCCAACCACATTAGAGGATCCACTAATTCGTTAGTTAAAGGAGTCAATCTGCGAATCTGTTCCCATGCTAAGATGAACTATGGAGACTGTGGGCTAAAGAGAAGCCTAATGATCCATTGGATGGATAATGCCCTAGCTTGAAGAGTGGGGTCAATGAGCCCGAACCCCCCTCTTGATTTTGGTTGAATAATTGCAGTTCAGGCTACTTTGCTAATCACGTTTTTTGAGATCATGATTCCCTCTCCATAAGAAAGCACTGAGACTCTGCTGGAGCGCCTTGATTGGGGCTTTGTCCAGGGCCCATATGGCCGATTTGTACCAGATGGAACCCAACATTACATTATTAATGATTAGGACCCTCCCAAAAATAGAGGTATGTTTGTTCTTCCAGGTTTCCAACTTAGCATGAGCAGCTTGTAGAATCCCTTCATTATTAGACATAGGTTTGCCTGCAGCAGATAGATTGATACCTAGGACCCTGACTGGGGACTCAATTGACCGCCATTTAATCTTTGGGTTTTCTGGTGGCCTGACACCTTGATGATGGATCCACCAGCCAAGTGTTTTGTTTCCCCAGTTGATCCTCATGTCATATAATCTACAGAATTGATCCATAAGTCTTTGGAGGGCATTTAGATTATCCTCAGATGCGTCCAACATGAGAGAGAGGTCATCAACAACTAGGGAACATACTGGAATTGCGTCCTCGGGGATTGATGTTATTTTGATTTTTTTGGTATCTCTGTTTTATCTCAAGTTTGCTGCCAGGGCTTCCATTATGATCACAAAGAGAAATGGTGTTAGTGGATCTCCTTGTCTGACTGATTTTTCCAGATTAATAGGGGGGCTAGGTTACCATTAACCATCGTCCTAGTCGTTGCATTCTGGTGCATAATTTCCACCCATCTTCTAAAGCAAGGACCAAAATTTATTTTTTTCAGACATTTATCTAGGAACACCTAATCGACATGATCATATGTCTTCTCAAAGTCTATAAATATGAAAGTTGCATTGTGCTTAGATTGGCGCGAGACTTTGATGAGTTCGTTAACTAAGAGGATATTATCCTAAATATTCCTTCCTGTTATGAATCCTGTTTGTGC